CCCGCATGTCCTTCTTTCATATAGGACAAGATAATCAGGACCCTATCGAACTGCTCAGGTAGCCGCTTCCTCTGCGTTACTACGTAAAGCTTTATCTGGGTCTTCCAAGCGATGTACTTGGATTTCGTGCCATCGAAGGCATCGGGTTTCATCGCGCTTCCATTGATGAAAGCAGCATTGTCTTGGTTCTTGGCCATCGCGCCGGGATCAGATGGAGATGAGGGTGGAGTGGGAGAACGTTGAGAGGGCAGATTCGGTGCTTCAGAATCTTCTACGGCTTCTTCTACGGGGTCTAATGGACCCTCTGGTGATACTTCGGATTCTCCGAGGGCGATTGATCGGAGATGTTCGGTGACTGAATTGAGGGTGTCGCGTCTTTCTCTGGGTTCTGAGCTAGACACTGTGGGTTCGGAGTTTGCGAGGGATTCGTTAGGTTCTCCGATGTTTACTCTGGTTACTAGTTCTCCGCATAATCCCTCTTTGCACCGTGAGCAACGAGTACTATTCTGTGGGGAGTGCGGGCACGGCTGTTGTACACAGTAATATACGGGATCCCCGCGTTTGTAGATAGTTCTCCCTTCTAATACTCGATGTAGATATCCTCGGCAGTCACAGGAAGGCGTGGTCATGGGCTATTGGGTCCGTGAAGCTGTTTGCAGCAAACCCTGGGACTAATTGTGTTGTAACGACCAGATCAGGGGTAGAGGTTGCCCAAGATGGGAATTTCTGAAAAAGAACCGAAAATGCTAATTGTGATACAGATCTAGAGATACTGTAGCAGCCCAAAGAGCGATTATGTCTCTTTGGTCTGACGCCCTGACAGGGATCGTCGATCTAACTGCTAACGCCTTTCCGACGCCCGGTCGCAACTGGTTGCCACGTCATACTTGGGAATATCTGCTTGCACTGCGCAAAGCGTGTAACTCTGCCTATGGTAGGGCAAAGTACGATTCTAATAGGACGGTGCTCTGTCTAGCCGCCTAAGGGCTAGTGATTACAGAGGTGACTTCAGGGTATGTGATGTGGTAAAAACGCGCAAGTGCACGGAAAAGGGTTCCAGGGGTCTGGGTCTTGATGCGGTAAAGTCGATAGGGTTAGGATTTAGGGTGAGAGTCAGATGTGCGTATAGGGTGGATCGTCGTGTGGAGCTGGGTGATGGTTGTTGTGGGAGTGACAAGAATTGTTGTAGGGCAGTTAGTGGAGACTCGAGCTAATGTCAGCAACCTACAATCCAACTGGACTGGGCTACGACAAGGCTGAGGAGACAGACGAGATGAAAGCGGGTGAGTAAAAACCAGCTTGAGTCTGGCTTGTTATTGAGCAATACGAGCTCCTTATATACATGTCAGACTGAATACTCAGAATATACTACAAATATACGAGGGTGTATAGAAAGTGAAAGAATATTGAGGAATCCGGGAGAACCATCCGGAATATGTGATATTCATGACACAACGGCACTTCTCAAGACTCAACGCCTTTCTTTTCTGCCAACTACATCACCAGTCGGGGCGTGTTGAGTATTTAAAGTCTATGATCTGTAAGTTAATCTTTGTGAAGGTGCGCAGAGTTGAGCGCATCATCTATAGCATTGTTGGCTAACGCTTTTCACTGCAAAGCTGCAGAAACCACTACCTCGTCCCTATGGTCGCACTTGTAGACGGTAAATGACATACCCTCCTATCACTACACTCTACTAACATCAGTGCTCAGGCTGCATCATGATGCATCCAAACCTGTGTTGTCAGAAGATAAGTGAGCATGGCAAGCTACCACGCCATCACTGTGGTAACCAGGTACATATGACATCTCTGTGGGGTGTGGTATAGCTGGTGAGAGTGGTGACAACAACGGAATTGTGCTTGAGTGCGATGGCAGGCTGACAGAGGAGGAAATGATGCCCGGCGAGAGTATATGCAGGGTAGCGCGACATTGCTGGTGGGGTTGTGCCTGGTCTTTGGGGGTGCATTGCTGCGCATGTAGTCCAACGCCATAAGCAAGAGCAAGAGCAAGAAGAGCAGCACTCAAGACAAGCTGGTGTGCGTCAGCAGCTTGTTGTTGCTCAAGCCCTCGTGCAGCAGCAGCAGCGTGTCCGCCAGAGGCTGGTAATGCTGCTGCTGCACATGTGAGAGCGTCAGGGTCTGAACGCATGCGCGGTGGCAGGGGTATGAGTCTGAGTCGAACTGCTTCAAGTGCACAGCGCTTGATGCATACTCAATGCCTCCGTGCATGCATTGCTAGTGTGAGCCTCCTTTCCATGGCATTTGTGCATGCAAAACACCTTGTGGATGGCAGCATGAATATGTTTTGTCTGTATACATACGTTGTAGTCAACTTGCACATAATATAATGGTCTTGCTATATATCTATTTGTGCACCATGTGTGAAAACCCTGGAATGGTCAACTAAGCAGCAGGGCTATCTACATTGTGGTCCGAACCCAGTTGACTTGTGGTCCAAAATGCTACAGGACCAATAGCTGAAGGTCCGGACCACTCAAGACAGGGAGACTCTGGTCTGGTGCTCTCTGTGGTCCAGAGAGTCCAGTAGGTTCAGGACCATTGTGAAATTTCCCTGATGTGGTCCGCGATACTGACATCATTTGGGGTGGTCTTTAGAGGGTGCCAGAATCCATAGGAGCTATCTAAGAGTAGAAGGCTCAGACATGAGTGGCGACAGGGCTATTTAATGATAAGAGGTGGTGAGCGTGAAAGAAGGCACAGCGCGCATGTACCCAACACGCTGCCCGGCCAGGGCTCATGCGGTGATAGCAGATCATGTATGCATGGCACGCCGGCGTGACAGGTGAGGACGCTGTCAAACAGCACAAACCTCAGTCCTACAGCCAGGCGTAGCGCTGCAATAAATGATATCCTGTGGCGGCAGGAACAAAAGTGCTACTACTTGTCACAGATAGTATGATGTGGAGGTCCAGTTGTCTGAGCCGGGCCAGCTCGGGTCATAAAAGCATCTGCGCTCTTCCTGAAATCAATCAAACAGCGCTGTTCACTAGATGATTCCTACATCATTGTAACCAGAATATGACAGTGGCTATGTTGAAGTCTAGGGGCCCGATTGAAGTACCTTGCCACTATTTGTGTCTAATCTCAATGTGACCACCCGCCTACCCTCGTCATGATTCATGAACCGCCTGATGTACTGCCGAAAGACTATATTCACCAAACCCATGCTTCTTATGGTCAGATTCTCCTTCATCGTCCTGAACTGGTTCTGAATCCATGCAGAATCCCTCGCGCAAAGCGCCTGTTCCTTCTGAGAGCGCAGTACAGGGTCAGAGAGCTCTCGCATGTAGTCTTTGTTGTCTGAGTCACTGTTGTCTTCAGCGAAATCTTGCACAACCAGGTCAATGCTGATGCCGATAGCCTCCAAGGAAGGATGCGACGATATCCACTGGCCGAGCTGTGTCCAGTTTATTAGATCAGATCCGCGTCTCCATTTACTCGGAGCAATGGTGCTGTAATATATCAAGCGTACACGGCAGATGTTGTCTAGCATGCAAGTCAACAAGTCATGATAAATGTCTTCAAAATCCCACTGCACATGTATTAGCTGGCGGGCAAAGTCATTCAGGGAGACGTGACGTACAAATCCCAGAAGACTGAACTCTGCGCTTACAAGCTTGGAGCATTGCCATAAGCTTGGCAGCTTAGTAGACCCTAACGGCAAGCCAGTTGATCAATAACAGATGCGGGGCAAGAGTTTCAGTTCGGCGGCCTAGACACGGGAACTTATTAAGTTACACCGGACTAGCCACTCAGAAGCGCCCATGAGTGGCTAAGACACTGAAAAGCCAAAAAAATGGCACAGGCAGGAATTGAACCCGCAGCCTAAAAGTAACCACAGCACACTATACCACTAAGGCATAAGACCTTGCAAACATTGGGTTGGAATTGGGCTATAATACCACTTTTCCACCTTGAAGTCTTAGCCATAACATCAGAATATGCCTTTGTACAATTACATTCCATTGCTTTAATACATAATAATTGGCTAAAATATAGGACTTTGGGCAGCTAAGACACTGATGTGGCTAAGACACCAGTGTGGCTAAGACACCAGCATGGCTAAGACATTGAGACATTGAATATTTGCCATTGATTCCACTTGAGTATAATTCATCTACTCAGGTGTCTGAGCCACACTGGTATCTTAGCCACACTGGTGCTTTAACCATGCCATTAGAATATACATATGTACAATAAGCAGAATCAATAGCAGATATTTGATATCTCAATGTCTTAGCCATGCTGGTGTCTTAGCCACACCAGTGTCTTAGCCATAACATCAAAATACACCTTTGTACAATTACATTCCATTACTTTAATATCTAATAATCGGCTAATATGACTTTGGGCAGCTAAGACTAAGGTGGAAAAGTGGTATTATAGGCCAATTCCAACCCAATGTTTGCAAGGTCTTATGCCTTAGTGGTATAGCGCGCTGTGGTTACTTTCAGGCTGCAGGTTCGATTCCTGCCTGTGCCATTTTTTGGGCTTTTCAGTGTCTTAGCCACTCATGGGCACTTTCGAGTGGCTAGTCCGGTGTAACTTAATACACTGTAGCGTTCATCCCAGGCGAAAATTGCCCAGTCCGGAAGTGAGAGGAATGACCTTGTAACCTGGCGTAGAAAGCCGGTTTAGCTGCATGTTCAGAAGGGGCAATTTCTGGGACAAATGTCCCAATATATTTGAACCATTGCCATGTGCTCACTGTGAGGTCCGTCGTGTATTTTCGACACATGAAAGCCAAAACAAGGCACTTAATGCCAACAATTGCTTAGTTTTTCCGGCTCATTTAAGGTCAAGAAGCCCACGGATGATGTTCATATTTCACGGTCACATTTGTAAAGTACACTAGAACAGGTTTAAATATACAGTTTCGTATGCTATTTACTACGAGCTGTATGGTATAATCACCAGGTAAAGTTATGATAGAACAAAGGAGCGACAGAGACTGGATCATCACACACGATGGGTATTCTAGATGCCGTTGAGAGCGTCATCAAGGCTCTGAGCACCACAGGCATCTGCGCCGCTGTTCGCCGTGGCAATCTTGAGCTTCTTCTTGGCGTCGCGCGAGACACTGTGCATATACTGCTTGAGAATCTCGGCAGTTGCCCAGTCGTTCTTGAACCTTGTGAAATATGGCTGCAACCTCTTAGACTGCAAATAAATCAGTACAATAAGCCGCTTATTGTGCGGAGATTGCTTGTACCAAAGCAAAGACCTTCGCAAGGTCCTCAGGCTTAATATGCTTGTAGCCACCCTTTAAGTTAATAGATGCGGCGTGAGCGCAGCGGTGAATGGTAGCCTAGTACGTTAGTGAGTGTGAGGTCAATGTTGATGGTAATCAAAAGCAGCCCGGACAATACGCACCAGAATGACGTTGTACTTCAACATCTGGATTTCCAACTCTCTAAGATCCATCTCCTCTCGCAGATGAAAGCTGTTCCTGCCACCTCCGGCACTACTCTTAGGCCTAGGAATTGAACCAGCAGGGACACCGCCAGCTCCTGCAGCTTGAGCGCCGGCAGCAGCTGCAATGGCAGCCTGAGCCCGAGCCAACTCAGCTATAACATAAATACTGTAAGTAGTACTCTTGATCATCAATAGACAGAGCCACGCATCCTGTAAGTTTTGAATAATGATTTCTGTGTTTGCGGCAATGGGGCCTGGCTGAGTCGCAGCAGGGTAGGCGGCAGCTGGCTAGATGTTTGTAGGCTGGATGGCGGCCAGTTGGGCAACGGCAGGCTGGGTGGCAGCAGGCTGATTGATGACGGGCTGGGCGACTGCTGGCTGGGTGCCTGCAGACTCGATGATAGCCGGCTGGATAGTGTCTGATTGGGTAATGGTTGGCTGAGTGGCTTGAAGTTGGGTGCCGGTGGGCTGTGTATCAGCTGGATGGGCAGCAGCAACAGTAGTGGTCTTGGGGGCGTGAGGGCGAGGCTTTGGAGCTGCTGCTGGGGCCTTATTCTAAGTCCAGGGCTGATGTATGATCCGGTCAGTACAAGGATAGGTCATTAGGACAAATGACAAACCTGGTTTTTACTAGTACTCTTTTGAGGCATGGCGAAATAAGCTGCTTTCAGGGGAAAAGACCCAGTTAAGATACCAAGAAGCAGAGAAGAAGTTTGGAGGAATGGAGAGAGCACGGTGGAGAGAGCATCACCTTATATATGGCCTCGCCGTCAGAGTCCCGTGATGAGCATGTTGAATTTTGCTCAACGACAAGATGGCGTGACTGACGTGACTGACGCGACGCGGCAACAAACGTGGTGTGTGTTTCAGCCTCAGCTCCTCGGAGCTAGGAGTTCCACTACTCTCTGAATTCGACCACCAGCAGCCTCCTCTTTGACAATACATCTTATACACACTCACTTGATGTTCCATGGGTCAAAAACGCTCCAAAGAAGCAACGCTTTCGCTGCCAAGTGGCAAGATGAAGAGGCGGCCGAGATCAAAGGTGCTCTGTCCACACTGTGACCAGTTAGTTTCCAGCCAAACCCGTATCAACCACATGAAATTGAAGACGGGAACACCTGCCTTACATGCTGCTGCTGTAACATACTTCACTCAATTTGATGAAGCTACTGCAGACCCTGCACATGTGGGACCTTTGTCAGCCATTGACAACGAACTCGTATCGGCATCTATCACCTTTTCGGATGGTCTTCTCAGAGTACCCGGACTGGCTGAGCACTTCAACAGCTTCGAGAATGCTGAGATGCAAAGCCATGGAACAGTTATTGAGAGCTGCAAGAGACTTTCACAGCCTTTGGATTCCGTAGAGGAAGCTCTATCAAACCTTCGCAGATCAACACGCCTGGCACAGTCCTTCGAGAGCGACTCAGAGTCAGATTTGGCAGAGGAGGAGGAAGAGTTTGTTGAAGCAATGGGAGACCTTCAACTGGATGACTTGGAGGATAGCTGGAGAGAGCTTGAGCTGGGTGAGAAGGATGAAGATGGTCTATATCTGCATCAGCGGCTGAGCGAAATGTTTGAGCATGAGCTCGTAGAATTCGGTACGCACCAACTGACTCTATGCTGTACCACCTCTACTAAAGCCACACACAGGCACCCAGCTCAGCTCTAGGGATCAGGCCATCCTTCGGGCGTACACGTACAAGATTAGGGCCTGTCTGATGCGTGAAGCGTTTGCCATGCTTCCGTACGCTTTTGATGGTATCATTGATTCCTCTGAGGATGAAGTCAGCTCTCGTGCTGCTTTTCTCTCTGGTCTCGATCCTGTTCTCTATGACTGCTGCCTCCAATCATGCTGCTGCTATGTCGGTCCTCACCAAGACTGCCAAGTATGTCCCTACTGTGGCGAACCACGTTACAATGCTGCTCAGCACCCGCGCAAGACTTTCACCTATATTCCCATCATCCCTTGCCTCTCTGCCATGGTTTGCAACAGTGACAGTGCCGCAAAAATGCAGTATTGTGCTGGTTTCATGTCCTCACCCTCTCTTCATAACCCTCCTGGTCTTATTTGCGAGCAGGAGCGCCAACAAACTGGGCTTGGCAAGCCTGGAATATGCTACTGCCCCAGTGCGGTCAAGGATATCTTTGACGGACGCCAGTACTGAGCATTGCGAGATACTCCTATTGCCATTGATGGACAAGCACAAGGCCGTGCTCACTTCTCTGACCAGCGAGATATTGCCTTGGGTCTTTCGACTGACAGTTTCGCACCGTTCAAGCAGAAGAAGCACACATGCTGGCCATTAATCCTCTACAACTACAACTTACCACCTGAAGAACGATTCCATCATGAGAACATCATCTGCGCTGGCGTCATACCTGGACCAAAGAAGCCTCACAACTCTGACTCATTTCTTTGGCCGCTGGTTGAGGAGTTGGTTCGGTTGGCAGCAGGAGTTCTGGCTATGGACGGAGACTCACTCAGACAGTTTGCGCTCCATGTTTATTTGCTTCTGGCTGGTGGTGATATTTCTGCTGTTGCTATGCTGATGAGAATGAAGGGCCAGAACGCATACTCACCATGTCAAATGTGCAACATCAAGGGCGTTCTTAGCCTTCGGGAGGAAGGCAGCAACAAGCGGCAAGTATATTACATCCTCCTTGACCAGTCACGGCATCCATCAGTGCAATCAGTGCAATCAGAGCCCTCCGCGATCAAGAAATACAACCCTCTCAGCCTCCCACTTTGTAGCCATGCGGAGACTCTCGAGCAGGGACGCCTTATTCAAGAGAGCCCAACTGCCGCAGAGGAACAGCGTCGTGCCATGCAATTTGGAGTCAACGGGCTTCCACTTCTTCATGCCCTAAGCTCTATATCTTTCCCCGACTCATTTCCATTCGACTTCATGCATCTTTTCTGGGAGAACATGCTTCCGAACTTGGTGCTGCTTTGGACTGGTGCATTCAAGAGTCTTGATGAAGGCGCAGGATCCTACGAGCTTGATAAGAATGTCTGGAAGGCTATCGGTGCCGCAACAGCAAAGTCAGGCTCAACAATCCCATCAGCATATGGCCCATGGCTTCCCAACATCGAGAGCGAACGCCACCTGTATACCGCAGATATGTGGTCCTTTTGGGCTTTGTTCTTGGGGCCATCACTTTTGCAGCAGAAGTTTTCGGACATCAAATATTACAACCATTTTGTTGCACTAGTTGAGCTACTCACCATATGCCTACAATTCGAGCTCACACAAGATGACATGATGAAGGTGCAGCTCGGCTTTGCTGACTGGGTCGCGAAGTATGAAGAGTATGTTTTGACAACTGACTTGTATCTTCGGATCAGAGCTAACATATGTGCAATGAGCAGATACTACTATCAGCTTGATCCAGAACGCCTCTGCACTTGTGTACTCACCATTCACGGGCTACTTCATATCTTTGACGGCATTGTTGCTCTCGGCCCAAGTTGGGTCTATTGGGCGTTTGCAATGGAGCGGTTCTGTGGTCGGCTCCAGCGAAACATTCGAAACCGACAGTTTCCATGTGCTAACCTTGCTACATTTGTTGTCGCTGATGCACGCCTGAAGCAGTTGGGACTGAAGTACAACATCACACAGATGTTATCGCTTAAACCACCAACAGACTGTCCGGTGCGCGAACAAGTGTCTGTCGAAGGCTGTACGTATGGCGTATTTATTTTGAATATGGCTCATACGCAATTCTCTCTAGATTCAACGTGTGTACTTCTACCGCCGCATCTGCCAAAGGGCTCCGTTTCCGAGCTCCAGCTGCTGCGCCGGATTTTCCTCTGTCTTGCAACTCGGTTCAATGTCACTCTTTCAATTGCAAAGCGCCATGTTAAAGCGGACCGTATCGAGCTGTTTGGCAAGGTCCGGCGGCTCGATGGTGGTGACACAATGTGCGCTTCGGAAATGGTGTCCACGAGTGATGACCATCGTGATGCTACATACATTTGGGTGAGTTACAGCCGACTAGGTATACCTAGTCAATTTATAGGATTGTGATTATCTAACATGGTGTGCATCAGTATCAAATTCTCAAAGACCGTAATGCGCGGCACTGCAATGTGCCCAAAGTCTTCGAGCTCATTTCACACTTCGCACAGCTCGTCAACATCATTGTCGTTCATCTACCGCCCATTATCAACTTCTGTCTTGACAAGCCATTCACTCTTGTGCTTGCTGAGGTGCAAACGTGCAAGACCGACGCGTTCTGCAATACGCCGCTGGGCATATCATGCTACCAGGACCTTGCACCGCCAGAGGTCATTGACGTGACTTGTGTGCAGTGTCTCGTTGGTCGACTGAAGCTCTCGGATGGTGCGCGGCCCATTTGGGCTGTTATCGACCGCAGCGGCGGGCTGGCAAGGGCTGCTTGGGCCAGCAAGGATGCTACATAGTGATTTTCCACAAACGAGAGTTGCATGTGGATATTTACCAGTATTGTATTTGATTTTGCCATGTACCCTACTTAGTTTGGAATCAGCGCTTTCTCCCGGAAATCTACACCACCAGATCTTGCCCACTTTTTGGGCGGTTCGGGACTTTTTGCCAGATGCCATGGTGAAAATATGGGGTTCTGAACTCCATAGTGAATAAGTTCCCGTGTCTAGGCCGCCAAACTAAATCAGCTCTGCGGGGTTAAACTAGACCACTTGCTCGATGTCTTGGGAGGCCTTCATGACGATGCAGAATATAGTGAAAAGTGCGCCAAGCTGACATGACAGCGTTCGATGAACTTATCAAGAGCGAGGATAGATATTACGTCGGGATCTCATGTACCTGGCCAGCGAATGGTCAGCTTGGCGAGCGACGAAGTGATGATGATGCGCTTAATGGCCTGCAATACGTCGAACGTCAATTGCTCGAACACGAGGTGCTCAGTGTACAAGTGTGAGGACTGTGCAAGTTTTTTGAACTTGTCAATCTGCGGAGCGGATATGATGCTTAGGCGGTCGATTCGGTGGAACAAACGGAGATACTCGAAGATCCAGTCTTTCGGGAAATAATCCAGCATGGACATTGCCAGCTCGAGACACTCTATGTGGTGCTGAGTGCTGCGAGCTGGCATCTCGAGGGCGTTAAGCCCTGCTCAAGGGGAGCCGTCAAAGCGTAGAATGGATAGTCGAGGGAAAGCGAGCTTGATGTTGTCCACCAGGAGAACCAGGGAAGGCATGCCGCCACTCCATAGAACCGGCAGTCCAGTGATGTACGCCATGAGTCTGCATGAGGTCCTCGACGCTATCATGAGCTGCTCCAAACGTCCATAAACCTTCTCGCTGTCTTCTTGCGTGGAGAAGTCTCCTGGCGCTTCAAAGTGGAGGCGTCGCAGCAGATGATAAGAGCTTCGGGCCAGCCATTTACGACATGTGAGAGAACAGCTAACCAAATCGCCTTGCGGGATGACAGGGAACTTGTCTCGGTCGCGTGTATAGGCAACTTGATCGAGAATCGCGTTGACTAGCTCTTGGGACAGTTTGGATATAGGCAATGGCAGCGGCTGAACAACGGCAGGTACCACACACGTGTCAGGACGTGTGTTGCATTGGTGCACATTCAGAGGTGCTTGGTGAGGCGGCGAGGTTGCTGAGAGATAGGACAAATGATAGGGACGGTGGAATGGCGAACATTCGAGCGGTGCCAGTTGCTCGCTTATCTGCAGAGGGACAGTGGGAGACTGTTGTGTGCTGGGAGTATATGTGGAGGATAGCAGCGTCCTGGATCCTGATTCCGGGCATCCAAATAACTCTGGAGGCAGTCCAGGTTTGGCAGCAATCCTCCTGTAAACGGTGGGCCCAGGGGAAGGCTGAGTAGGAGCACTGGCATTTGTGATAGCACGCCTGATGTATGTATATTGAGTTAATAAAGGCATAAGACATGCTACGATAGAGATACCTTCCCCTCATTGTAACTGCACAACACGAAGTCAAGTGAGCTGAAGCAAAGCCGCGCTATTGGATCTGAGCCTGGAGCGCGTCCCCGCCGCCGGCGTCTCCCGAAAATGGTACAGCCTGACACGAGACAAATTAAGATGTCTTTTCGGCAAAAAGAGGCATGAGTCGAGTTTAAAGGTAGTTTACACAAGTTGAATGAGCGACGCGCGCACGCGGACTCGAAGTGCCTGTCATTCCCACCTAGAGGCCCACGACCTCCGTTCCCCTGCTCGCAGCAGGATGAGTCCAACAGCGGACAAACACGGACCTGCTCAGGAGTGTTAGGTGCGTGCCGACGCTTTGTCAGCAGTGAGCGTACCTAACTGGGATCCTTCTGACCGCAGATGGTATATAGGTGCAGCCGCGAGGGACAGGGGCCGCACACCTCGTCCCGTCTGACCTCCATCTGCGTTAGGTTTGTGCCAGCACTTTCTGTCATGCCTCGCTTGGTCTGACATCCATCTGTATTAGGCTTCGAGTCCTCTTTTTTACGCTTTCCCTCCCTTCCCTGCCCTGTTTTGTACTTGTTGTGACTCTTGTTCAGTGTTGTGCTAGTTAAATAGTCACTGACTTTACTGAATGACTTAACTAATGACTGTAACTGGGCGGTTCTCGGGTCCTGATCTCGGAAAATGCCGCTGTCCAATTGGAGTGCGCGGATATCTGCCTAGGTGCGAGTGGGACATCTGAGAGGCAATGTTGCAAAACTTTCGAGGTAGTGACTATTGTATATACAACCTAAGTACAAGCACAAAGTTCCTCACAGTCCTCTTCTCCTTCTGCATCTAAATCAAAAAACCCATGAACCTCCATCTCTTCTTCTAGCCCGCGCAACCCCAGCTTGTCCATAATGTCAATATGTGTTCCTAAAATTGAATACATCATCAAGGCGGCAATGTAATGGCCGCCCATAACGCTGAGACATGACAGCGGAGAGATGTTCTGCCTAAATCTCAGATTCTGTGGCCCGCACCATTGCAAGGGCGATATCCTGCATGGACGGCGCATTGGGTGCGCGCTCATTGGGCTGCGTCTCTGACGAGGCTTGCCCTGTTGAGCCAATCGGGCTGGCCGGTCATGAGGACTGTGATGGGGCCAGGTGAGCTAGCACCAGGCTGAAATACTAAGCTCGGGCCAGACACAGAGGCAGCGCCGGAGAGTGCAGAACCCGCTGCTAACGGTGGCGTGACAGATGCAGCGATCGGTACGCTTGCCATGGGCACACGTATAGTTGGGGTAATAGTAGGTGGCGGTGCTGCTGCGCAGTCGATGAAGTGTCGCTCGCGCCACTGGAGGCGCGTTGCCAGAGCGCCGCCAGACTCGTATTCTTGCATAATGTGCAGACTGAGCTCTGCAGAGTTCATGAGATTTGTACCAGTGAGACGTGAGCAGGAGGGGGTCATAATTCGCTTCAACAGGCTGAAGAAGCGTTCGACGGGGGCAACATTAGGGCAAACAGAGAAAATGCGTTCGGCAAGCCGCTGCAGAGGAGAGACCGGGCCACTGGCTGTCATGAAGAGCTTCCAAACTTCAAGAGGTGCGGCGGAATGCTGATAATGCATGATTAGCATTTGTCAGAGTTGAGACAAGCACACTCACGTCTAGATCATTGGGGTTTCGGAGTGATGCAGCAAGATTTGGCATGTCTGCGTAAGTGCCAGTGTCTGAGATGTACTCCTTCACCTCATTGTAGAACGCGGGCGGGACAGTATCTGATGAAAACAGACGCTTCCAAATGCGGGCAAGCAGCATTATGATGTCTGCGTGCCAGAAGCTCTTAAGTGGCGCCGCTCGAGTATGTGGATTAAGGATGACCGCTGCTACAAGGATGTCTTGATCACTGTCCAGCCATCGCTTATTGAGACTGTCGCATACAGCCCGGCAGATCTCTTCTTCATCGGCATTAGCATCCTTGTCTTCAGCAAGGTTAGTAAATCGAAGAAACAATGTGCCAAACACCAGGGCAACGTGATCGAGTCGACTCGATGTGGACTGGAGAATGTTGGCAGCTAGCGCAAGCGGTGTGAGATGTACCTTGATGCTGCAGATTACAAAGATTATTGCTACGCCATTGTTAGCAAAGCTCGATTGCGATATACCGTGCGAGTTAGTGCCAAAAAATAGCCTTATCAATGATCGCGAGAGTTTCGTTTGCCTTTTCCTTTGCTTCCCTATCGCCTGTGACCAGCTGACTCTCTTGTCCAGCCTTGACGCGCCCTCTATCCTGGGAGACAACCTGTGTGATCCAGTTCTTGAGGTCAAGAAGACACCGATAAGCAAGGTAATGAGAGATCCAGCAAGTAAGAACAGCGCGAATAACAGTTAGAGGAGACGAAACGCCTTGCTCCTCCTGAACCTTGCGAAGTATTGCAAGGACTTGGGTCTTGCTGCGGAGCCACCTGATTACTTGGTCGGCCTCAGCAGATGCTTCGAGAAATTTTGCACTGGATTTCTTGAAATAGTCGCCAACTACAAGGTTGATCTAATGAGCGTAGCACTGCATGATGATAAGATCTGGCCTTTCAAGTTGCAAGGCCTTCCGCATCGCTAGCGACTCGCCGCTGTTGTCCGAAACGAGGGCAACAAGTTTGATGTTCCATGTCTCCTCCGTACGAGCAAACTCGGCCCGCACATGTGCAAGTAATTTTTCTGCAGTCTTCCTTTTGCACGATGTATCCTTGAGTCTAGCCGCAAAGACCTGAAATACATAGGAGATAATTGAGAATAAATTTCTGTAAGCCTGCACATGTCATACCTTCGATCCGGCCGTGAACATAAACCCTAGGAAGTGATGGTAATTGCCTCCTGTCCAGCCATCCAGTTGGAAAGTCCCTTCCGCAACCTTCAAGTCCTTCAAGTTCTTCTGTGCCAAGCCCCAAACTCGCTCGAGCTCTTGCAGAATGAGAGTCTTTGTCAGTTTATTTCGTGAGAAAAGCTTCGCGCCTGGAATAAATTTGGCAACAAATGTCGCCCACTCAGGATTCTCAACCCAGCGGTGGGGAAGATTTGCTGAAGCCGTCAAGCGGGTGATGAGCATTTCAAAGCGCTCTTGGCGGCTGTCCATTCAGTGTGAAGCTGTGAGTCTCGGCGGCATAGAAATGGGGCGTCGGCTAGCGCCACGCCTGAGCAGAGGAACGTAAACATTTGGCAGGGATAAACCCTGGCCAAATGATGATGATGTTATAGTTGGGCTGGGCAACAGAGAGTAAGAGGGGGGAGTCATGGTGGCCAGAAGCTGTTGGAATTCTAGAGGAATAGGTGACATAGTGCAATCTGCATGGGTCAGCTTAGACAGAAGGCACCAGATGCCATCATTCTCTTTCACTTACCTGCCGAGCTGCCTATCAGAGGTGAAGGAAGTGCCCCATGAAAGCCCACAGGGAGCGAGAATGATCGCTGAAGTCCTGGTGCCATGGGATGGGCTGTAGGCTCAGGCTGGACTGGTGGTGGATAGTACTGTGGTGCGGCAGCAGTAGGATTGAAGCCGAAACTACTCGACGGACCTGCCATGGGAGCTTCCATGTACTCGTAAGCCTCCTCCCCTCTGTTGGCGGCTGAATCTTTCTTCGTCTTCTCTGTGATTGCTTGTTCTTTGACCTCAGGCAGCACCCCATGCTTGCAATGGATGAGGTGATTTATCAATGTTGGCTTTGCAGAGGAGATCCAGATACAATCTGCATCTGCCTTTGACTGACTCCATACTGGTGAGATATTAGCAGCTGCTTATCACAACAATCACGGCCAATAAATAGTACTCACGTTGATCGTTAAAGGCCGACTGATTGAGATGAGGATCAGTCCGCTTTGCCTGATTAAGAGCGGAAGTGTAGCAGGCACGACAGATGACCTTGAACTTGTCAGAGGTAGGTGCACCTGGATTTGCATATGCTGATGGGTGCTTCATCGACCTTAGTGGATGGTCGAGAAAGTGCCTTCTCCACCAGCTGGACTTCCCTCTGACATTCTCGGTGTGGTTCATCGAGCTCGGAGTGGTGGGAGACGTTCAGAGCAAAGTGGGATTGTCAAAAACGATGTATTCCACCTCACAGGCTATGTACACAATGACACGCGCAAGTCTCGAGGGCCTGGTGAGGCTGCAGCAAGCATTCGGAAGGCAGACGCGCGGGCGGCGCGGCGCATTTGGTAAATCACGTGGAGAGACCCAGAGCACCGCCCAGTCATCGTCAGGCGATAACTATTTAACTAGTCATTAACTAGTTACAATAGTCCACCTTTGAACTAGTAATCCTAGTGATTAACTGAGCAACACTGCCCTTGTTCCCTTGGTCTTCGTCCTCCCTCTTGTCCCTCTGTTGATCTCGGACGCTCGGACATTGCGTTTTTTGTTGATTTGCTTGTTACCGTACACGCTTTTGTACTTAACCGGGCGCCATACACGGAAAGCGTCCCGCTCGCTGCGGAATCGATTCAGGCCGCTGACGTCTCGCGTTGGCGGTTGTTTATGCGGTATTCACACGGCCCTGCTCTTACCCCAAGCCCTTGACTCGGAGTCGCATCTCAGCGGAGGAGCTGATTCGAAGAGCTTGACAAAATTTTCCGAAAATAACGTCACCTTTTCGGTAGAAAAGATGCAAGGAATCTTCAGCGGAAATAGTACCAAAAGAAGGAGCCCTATTTTTGGAATTTTTTTTTAGTGAAAGGGCCGTATATATGTGACGCGAAGAGGAATTTTTGTGCCTATCTCAGCGGAAAATAAATGCACTGGGTTCATCTGTACGTAGTGTAGATATTTTTATTATTCTTTGCATCACAAATGTACGACCTTTTCACTAAGAAATATTTCCAAAATAGTGCTCCTTTTTTGGTGCTATTTCCGCTGAAGATTTCTCGCATCTTTTCCGCCGAAAGGGTCGGACTATTTTTGGAAAATGCTGCTAAGCTCTTTTCGTGCCTCTTTTGGCCGAAAGGATATCTTGATTTGTCTCGTGTGACAAGTTCGGGGCATACTTCGCGAGCTCTGTCATACGAGATATTAATATTTTTATAATTTGTACATGTATAACGTGAGCGGCGTACGAGTCGTGCTATCAAGCGAGCATTACTCGACCAGCTGGGTAACTCCGCTGGCAACGTCACTTGGCCGGTGGTTAAATCTTCGGCACCGGCGTGTCTGCAGCTTCCTGAGACATCGTCCCTCTAGTAGTAGCATACAATACACACGTAATGGTTTGTCTTTGTTCACTTGAAGGCGGGTCGAGTCGAGAACACGCGATACAGTTCAAGCGCGCCGCTTTGATCGCTCAGACACGCAGGTGCTAGACAGAAAGAGTCTGGGATTGAACATTGAGATCCTCGGAGCAGGTGAATTGAGAGATACAACTGATACAGAGACGTTCGGAGAAAGAGAAGCATATATGAGAGGAGAAATGAGATAACCTTAAAAAAAGATACATTCGAAACCCTGTCCACGCAGTCCATACAGAAGCACTGAGGCGACGCGTGGCACGTCACTGCCGTGCCTTGCGCAAGCCCGCCTTGCCCTTGCCATTGTCCTTGCAGGGCCTCGCTTGGGCCTTGGGAGCAGCCTCCCTAGCCTTGCGCCTGCCCACCCTGCGCTCGAGCTCCGCGGCATCGTACAGGCAGACCACGTTCGTGTTCCGGAGGTGACGCAGGAGCGCGTCGTGGCGGCTGAACGCTTGGTAGCACCCGCCGACGCGCTCCTCGCCGCCGTCCTCCTCGACCACGCCAAACCGCTCGACCGCGCCCGGCGGTGCGGCAGCGTGGCGCACGCCGCGGCACACGTGCTTGCGCGCGTGAGGGTAGTGCGTCAGGATGTGCCGGCGCAGGTCCGGCAGGTGTCGGTTCGTCTGGTGGTGCTCGCAGAGCGGGCACATGTACGCCCGCGGGCCTTCCGTCTCGGGCTCTGCGACCGGAGAATCCGCGTCGACCTGCTGCGTGCGGCGCTTCGTGTACTTGATCGCGGGCGCGCGGGAGCTGGACTCGGATGAGTAGGGGCTCGATGGCGCGGATGAGTACGGTGAGAACCGCTGGCGCGTCCTCGGCGCGCGCTGCGCGGCGGGAGAAGCCCTCGCGGTCTTGCGCGTGTGACCTGAGGCGCGCTTAGGGCGTGGTGAAGGAGCAAAGTCCGAGTCTGCAGGGTCTGAATCGGTCGTCCAAGCACTGCTGCCGCTCGAGGAAGTAGAAGGGATAGAATAGAATTGAGTTTCGGGGGTAGAAGGTATCGAGTTGAATTGAGACTTGGGGGTCACAGGGACGACTACTTGGTGTGAGGATATCTGGAGGGCGGCAGGGGAGACAGCGTACTCGTGCATCGAGAGCTGGGCGAAACCTTGCAGCGGGGGTATGTCGGCTTGCGGCTGAGGTGGAGTGCAGATGAGTTGCTGGTATGCATCACACAGTGAAAACGAGGTGAGATTAAAGGAGGGAGACATGGTGGTACAAGGCATGTCAATGCTAGATAGGCTCCAGTGGTCTGCGTCAGGAGTGGTGGCCAATAGAATGGCCTCAGTGACCCCGGCATAGCGGCTCGTGTCCGGAGCTCTGATAAAGACCGGTCAGATGATAAGCTCGAGCGAAGAGATGTGGGAACGCACATGCAGGGCTCAGGCATGTAATCCTGGGCCAGATCACTGGTACTAAGGAGGTAGGCATCAGGTTCGAACTGTGGCGATGTAGCCTCCGGGGAAGAAGCAATGGCGTCGGAGAATATCTCGCTCGCGAGGGTTGCAAGGTCAGAGACGTCAACGTCGTCCTGCGGGCCTGGTGCACTGATGTAGTGGATATGGGTAGGGTAAAAGGAGGTCATCTCGGGAGAGTAAGGCGAGTAGTAGCTCATGCCGTGGAGAGCTGGGCGGGGAGGTCTGGTGATGAGAGACAGACATGTATGGCAGTCTCTTTATACCTCGCTCGAGCAAAGGGTACATGGCGGGCGGGCGATTGCAAAACAATCCCAGTGGAGGGCGATGCGGTACAAAGAAGGTTTGAATGCTTTAGCAGGGCGCGGTCGTATTCCACGAAAGGCAACAGGGATCTATCACGTCGCGCGCCTGTGTGATAACAGCGAGCTTAAGCGTCCCACGAGCTTAAACAGCCAATCGTCAGTGTGGGCGTGAGAATCTTTGGAGGCCCTGGGAGTTGACGAGCCTCGAGGACCTCGGTGATGCGTGATGCCTCATGGGCCTAAACGCGCACCGCGGGTTCATTTGACCTGGATCCTAGCCTCCTCCTCGTTTCCATTGGCCAGCCTGTTGCCACTCTTCACAGCGAATCACATCGAGATTTCCGTCATCGCAGGCATTGCTTTAGTCGGCGGCGCCTATCCAAAACGTTACCAGCAGCCAGTCATTCGCCTTTTGTACCTGCCTTTCACACAACCGCCGCCGGTCCGTCGGACGCACACCGTGACCCGCGGGGAATTCCTGGCAGCATGTCGTGTCTGCTTAGAGCCTTGTCAGACACCCAACAGAGACGGTCAGCGGTCACTCTCATACACAGCGAGTAATGCATGAACTCACCTATATCGCATCTAGTCCTTCTGGACGACGATGCGATTGCGAGGCGAAGCATCGGTACCGGGGTCGGGTCTGGACGGTGCAAATAGTCCCGAGTGTGTCGCACACTCAAACCCGGCGGTCATCCGCCTACAGCACTTTTCGCAGCTTGCTCTCGAACGGCAACATTTGTTTTGAGCACCACAACGAGCCTGCAGCCCAAAATGGCATCATTGGCAGCTCCGCGCAGAGTCGCAGGAGGGGCAGAGTGTCGTATACAGGACGAAGCCGGCCCCTTATATATACACTCGAGGGCAAAGGCCTTTCAATGTAACAACGCTACACAACGCGGCGATCACTCAGATGACTTTCAAGCAACGCTCAGACTTTGCATCTTTCGTTTCGCTTGAAAGTATGGCAAAGCAAACAAGGTAAATAAATATTAATGTGGTCATAAATCGTTGAAGACACTTTATCCGATCATGTCCGCACATGAGGGTTATACATACCTCGCAAGCTGGCTGCGATTTGATACGCTGGCAAGCTCACGATGGCAAACTCCTTGTTTTTTGGTTCCGTGGGCGACAGCGCGACCTCGGTGGCACCCGCCACTCCGCTGATCCGCCTGCCCCACCATCAGCGCACACTGCGCGCTTGTCTCAGTCGTTTCTCTGGGCCTCTTCTTTCTTGCTTCGGAAGACCGCGATGCCTTCGACGACCATGAGCCAAAATGCCATGGTTGTCCTCGATTTGGAAAAGTTGGAATCCTTCCCTTTCTCTTCGTCTCTCTCGCACATCCTACAGCCCCGTTGGAGACCGCACAGGCAGCCTCGCAACACATCCCTACCCTTAGAGCTGTCACTCGTTCAGACAGACTACTTAATCCTTCCTTCAAACAATGGACTCTGTACGAGATAACACGAAGCAAGCTGTAGGATGCTTGGCTCGGAGGATTCATGGCTGGACCTGGCAGTCGGTACGTTTATCCTTGCATTGCTGTCCAAGACCTTCCGCCAAAACTACGCTTCAGTTCCCAATCGGCATGGGTACAGGCGCCGTATACGTTACACTTTCCGGAACCAAGCATCATACTCGTGCCCTGACAATCGTCGAAGGAATTTTTTACGCGATCAACATCGCGCTGTTCCTCGTGAACACGACGACTCTTCTCCTGCAGGCGATATGTATGTACACGACCTTTTTCTCCTTCTTCCGCACACACTTCTTATGCTGCACTTGTACCGAGGTAGTGTACCCAAGACGGGCCTGGCGACTATTGACCGACCCCGGGAAAGGCATCTTCGCACCATTGATTGTACGTGAATGGCTAATCTCGCGGCACGCACTGTGTGAACACGGTAATACAGGTCCTATCGTTGGCTACTATCATCATAGGCACGATCAACTATGCAGTTCCCAGCAACATTGTTCATGCGCACCACATCTACCATGCGTTCTGGTACGTGATCATTATATTCGAACTCTGTACGTCCGCCAAAATGCTTCGTTCCTTTAGGTGCTACGTCGTCTTCGCGACAATCGTGTGTTTCCCGATGTTGATGATATGGTTCAACAAGCCGCACGATTTATCTGAATTTACTCCGGCTTGGGCGTTCCTCGTGAGTATATGCTAATGTTCTTCCGTAATGGCGTGGTCGTTAAGCCGTGGGTACCGCGCTCCAGATATTCCCCATGGTGCGTGTTTGACGGTACTCGATTAATGGAGGCTGAGCTCAATTGCCGATGATATAGATGCTCATTGGGGTCGTCGCGTCCAACGTTCTGAAGATCATGTCACTGTCGGATCCGAAGGCCGTCGGTGTACTCTTGGTCGGCTACTTCTTCCAAGGTATGCTTCGTGATCTTGTTGCTCAGTTAGTTCAAACTGATTGCATACGTCTGTCAGGCTTGGGATTTTTCATGACCTTTTTCTATATTTGTATCTATATAATTCGGTGCGTCGTGGATGTGCTACCGGACTTGGTGCATTCATCTTAGATCCTGTCTGACAGGATCATGATGGCAAGTCGTGCTGTGCCCAGTTTTCGTTCGTTCTGCTTATAGCGACTTACAGACCGGCTTCCTCGAAGGTCACCAAGCGAATGGTGCTTTCGTGGCCTGCGGCCCCCCTGGTTTCACGGCGCTTGCGCTCATCAACTTGGGCAAACAAGCCCAAACTATGTAAGCGTCCGTCTCGTCTCGTACCTACGTCTCGCCGGTCGCTTACGATGCTAGCCTTCCTGCAAATGGCCTGGTCACCCCACAAGCGGGTGAAATATGGTACGCCTCGAGCGCACTGGCAGGGCTGCTCCTCTTCGGCCTGGCAGTTTTCTTCTTCGTGTTCGGCGCGCTGCCGTACTGGTTCAAGATGCACAAACGTCTGGACGAGATCTTGGGCTGTGAGTTTCCCCGAGCAGCATTCGCTACATGCGCGTTAAGACTAACTATTCTTACTCAGGCTGGGCGCTGACGTTCCCAAACGGTACGAGTATCGGCGTTTACGGATGCCAGCATGCTGACAGTGACCTACAGTCGGATGGATATCCGTGATCCGCGTTCTGGGCGATATCTTTGATATCCCCGGGTTCTACGTCTGGCACCTTGTGATGGCCATTGTCATGTGTGTGGTCTGGCTCGTGCTGTTCGTACTGACGGGTGTCGCGTTCTGGAAGGGGTTGATATTCATGGCGGACGCAGAAGAGGTCCTGAAGGATGTTATGGTCTCGCGAGAGGAGGCTGAGAGAGACAAGGCGGTGGCTTAGGACTGCGACGTTCAGCAGGCTTGAATAGTGGTGCGCGTCTGACCATTAGAAGACTCTACAACCTGAAGCGCAATTCCTTCACATCGTAGATTCGCAAATGTACTAATTTGAGGAATATCATTTCCATTCTGGACGAACAGAATTCGCTGAGATCTTGTCTCCTTGCAAGCGTTTAGTGGCGGTAGACGCTTGCCTGGGAACAGTGGGCAGCTGACCCAGGCCTAGCCGACGGAGGTCTAGTAGTGCCAAGCGCTTCCTTCCTCGCGGCGGTTGGCTGTGCCTTAACGAGCTGCTTGTCTCTCCTGAGTGTATCCCTTTCGGCTCCTTCCAGAATGTCAAGCCCAGTTATCGGCCGCACAGACACCTTGACTCAGCCCGTTGACCATCCTGCATGCCGGGAATTTCGTCCTGCCACATCCATGAGCGTGACCCATGGAAAGCGCGCTTCGGCTTCCCATAGTCCACTCTGGGCTGCGCTCCGATGTCATCTGAGCGCGCAGAATCCTTACTGCATCGTTTGCTGTGCGACGCCCACGATGTTCGCTGAGATACGCGACAGGAACAAGATCGGGCACTAGCCACACATCGGGCGCACTAGTCATTTTTTGGTGTAAGAGCGGTAAGTCCACTGGTAGACGGTCTTTATATCATGCTGATGCATGCTGCGGTAAACAACCGCCGGCTTATTCTCAGCTTCTTATTTCCGAAATTCGGTCCTCCTTCGCCCGTCCGGTCATAAGATCAAGTATATGACCTATTAGGATCGCAGCCGTTCAGTGTCGAATTCAAATCACGACGGACAGCGGGCACAGATACATGTTGTCCGACGATCCCAAGGATCAAACATCGCGAAGATCTTATGACGTCTTCAAGATCTGACCAGCGACAAGGTACTTGGAATTCCATCTCGTGTAGCCACGGAGAACCTATCGGATCTGATTCGGATGATACATTCCTGCCGTTACTTGGAAGCAGTATCTGACGGCTCCTCGCCCGTCCGAGACATCTTTGCAAATTCCTAAGAAACTGAATCATTCATATTCAATATAGAGATTGTGGCCATCGGTCCCATCGACGGCAGCCTCAATTTCTTCCAAGGGCTGTCGAACAGGGTTCAAAGGGACGTGAATCTGAACGATGTAATGCGTAAGTTTGTGTCTTCACGTTTGACTTGATGTATCTGAACGGGAAAGTACGTCCTGCCACCCCAGCTTTGTGTTCTTCCTTAACCTGGGTCGGCGACAGACCCTCCTTGAGAGGCCGTTTCAGCTGCGTAGGTCTCTCCTTCGCACCATCTTTTCCCCCATGGTGTCGAATAGGAAGAGTTCTGTGCAGTTCCAGTATGCACGCGGATGGGAGGGAAGCTGTGGAGTGGCCCTAGTAAGAAGCTGTGAGCAGCCGTGGTGAGTGTCCCATGATCAAGGTCTGCACAGCGGCTCCATTCACTGCTCGTTGGCCTGTCGATTATTTAGAGCAGCTCGCCATGGTCGGCCCTGCTGGGCTGAGTCGGACTTATATGGACGTTTATAAGGTTCGACTCAGATCTCAACTGGAAGTCGGATCTTTCGAACTACTGATGACTACTGGCCTTGTATAAGTAGCTCAAGGTTTGCATCGGCTGCTATCTAGAATGTATCGATCTAAAGATCTAGATCCGCGGTAATTGCGCTCTAAGGTTAGGTAGAGGCAGTTCTGGTTCTCAACATACCGAGAATATACAAAGGACACGGATCTGTCGCCCCTCAATCTCACATGTGTATATACGTGAATAAGATGCCAGCTCTTCCACCCTGCGAATCTCGTCTCCCTCGGCGCTCACTATGAACCCTCATACCGGATTCATGGACCGTGACATCATACAATGCCAAAGTGTCCCCTCATTCTCGCAATCCGGGGACTTCTTCTATATTTGTAGTATCGGTAGTACTCGTCGTGGATGTGCTACCCGACCTGGTACATTCATCTTAGACCCTGTCCGGCAGGATCATGATGGCAAGCCGTGCTGTACCCGGCTTCTATTCGTTTTGCTTACAGCGACTTACAGGCCGGCTTCCTCGAAGGCCACTAGGCCAACGGTGCTTTGCCATTCGTGGCCCTGGCTTCACGGCGCTTGCGCTCATCAACTTGGGTAAACAAGCCCAAACCATGTAAGCGCCCGTCTCGTCTCGTACTCAAGTTATGTCTCGCCGGTCGCTCACGATGCCAGCCTTCCTGCACATAGCCTCATCACTCCACAAGCAGGCGAAAAATGGTACGCCTCGAGCGCACTGGCAGGGCTGCTCCTCCTCGGCCCGGCGGTCTTCTCCTTCGTGTTCGGCGCGCTGCCGTACTGATTCAAGATGTATCCGAACATGTCCGATTTCTCCCCGCGTGACCACAAGCCGCACATCAAGCTGTGGGCAGGTCAAGGTCCGCATACATCACTTATCATGTCGATTTTAACGTAAGGTTGTACATATATGAGCGTTCATATCATGGCAGTGCGTTTCCGCCACTGCAAGGCTGCCGACGTGGTTTACATGACCTAGGGCGCCTCGTCGTATCTCCTGGGGCGAGCGCGCATGGCGGAAGGTGACGGACGTGAGCTACATAACAGTCTGAGCGTCCCGATCTGAGCCGCCCAGGTCGCGAACCGTATCTGGTTCCATGGCTGTGTGGTGGAAGATAAAAATTACAGTGGCGCATGAAGCTCTGGTAAGACGCCGGATAAAGCCGCGGCCGGCTGTGGATTTTAGGTTCGTATGCCACTTCATCATGCGCGAGTCAGTTAACCGCCGAAGAAAGTTAGGCTATGTGTAAGACACAATTCCAAACTGGCCTAGGTCGCCCTGCGGCACTGTGGAGTTTTGAGAGAGGCTATCAGAATGAACATGTTCTACCACTCAATCTGCAGGGACCATACAGACCCACAGGCCTATTACTCGACCGTATATAATATGTATGTGTCGCGAAGAGTCTTCCAACCTTACAGCTGTCTTTTCATTCCGTACCCACCATGAATCCCCACTGCATCAGTCTCCCCGACTACGACATTGCACAACGTCGGGGTGTACTCCCAGTCTCTCAGGCCGAAGATGTTGTGCACACGTCTGACTTCTGCCAAGACCTGTATTACCCTGAATATTCACCGCTGTACAACAGCGGGTCTGTTGACTCATTCCAGCCTTTCTTTTTTGGGTATGTATTCTTCCATCTATTACGCCAAATATGTCTAATGAGCCTCATGGGTTACCCCACAACTCAGCTTCCACGGCGCGGCTCAGGAAGTTCCTGTTCCTTCTATCACTCCATACACCCGGGTACCAGGCATGAGTTCGAGCGAGTCGCAGTCACACTTTCCATCGCGGAAAGGTTACTGCGGTCAGGCATCTGGGCCTTTCTCAGCGCTCCAGGACACCCCGTTCTCGCCTTTACATGCACCGCTTTCCACTTCCTCCCGAGCACACGTGTCCCATTTCACTTATTCACCTGGCGGCGCCCACACCACGTCACCGTTCGGTCCTCGGACTTCACATGCAGTTCAGCTAGATGCTACCAATTCGTCCTCCTTGCACCTTGCTCCCGGATCAATCACGGGGACGTCTATTCTAGTTTTAGGCTTCGAGACAACCGCCAAACACAACGGATTCAACGCGCTAGGCACGGAGCCCATGTCCTCCGCCGGCGCAAAGCGCGCCGAGTACCAAGGCTCTCCTTACTCCTGTACAGCCATTTGCATACCCCCAAATTATCCCGCGCCCTCCGCCAAAGTTAAACGCATCACCCGTCGCATGAATGAAGTTGTCTTTACCGGCGCAATCCCCGAGCCGAAGACAACGGGCCCGGACGCATGGCGCTGCATGCATTGCGACTACGTTCAGGAAAGCAAGTTTCTTAACAACCTGAAGCGCCACATCGCAGCGCACTACCCACTCTCCGTAGTCTGCAAGGGTGTACCCCTCAAAGATGCACCGCAGTACAGTGTCATCGACACCGGCGACGTCATGGAGTGGGATGGTGAGCTCCGAGTCGGTGGCTGCTTCTCAGGCTTCAGCCGTCGCGACGCACTCTTGCGCCATCTAGGCAACCCGAATGTATCCTGCGTGGGCGAGACTGGCGTGACTACACGCTTGCGAAAGTCGAGCGCCCGCGAGTGAGCAGTCTGTAAACAGGAGAATCATCCCTTAGAAATCTCTCTGACTTTGTGATCCTATCTACTACGCGGGTAAAGAATCGGACCGGCTGTCCCGTACCGTTGATTGCGGTATCTAGAACAAGTAGTCGTCTCAAGGACCTTATTTGCTCTCTGCATCTCTATATAAGCGCAACGGACAGCTGGGAGCGTGAACATTATTGGAAATGAGAAATAAATGCGATGATCAGGGGCTGTGACGCTCAGCAGGCCATACACAAGATTTAGTGCACACCCAGCTGCAAGGGCACGTCGCCGGGGACGTTCAACAGGACCTTCCGCTTTAGGAGGACATGACTTCCGTTCGGAACGAACCGAGTTCGCTGAGGTCAGTCTCTGGGTGGTACCGGCGAACGTCCGCATGCCAGGAGTCTCGTTTAGACCATGGACGTGGCTCACGAAGAAAGCGCACAGAGGCCTTCCCCAGTACGCTCTGGGCTGTGCTCCGATTTCATCTGAACGCGCGGAGTTTGTGATGATTGCAGCGCGAGGCCTGCCATACCGGCATGCTTAGGCTGCGGGACTTGGGCGAGCCGGCATATCAACGGTCTGGTAGAAACTTGCTCACAGCTAGCCGAAAGAATAGTGCTACTTCCCCCACGACGGTTAAATATGATGTTGGAGAACAGCTGCACATTGTGCGGTGGACGTTCGAGATCAAGTTCGCATCCCCGGCGTCTCGCGCGCTTTGCCACAAAGTTGCCGAAAGCAGGCCGTTTCTGGCCGCCATTTCCTCCCATCTCAAATTGCCTAACCTCTCACAACAAGCATTTGCTTACTTGCTTGCACCCAGACTTACTGGGTATCACATAGGCACGAACTCGCACATTCCCTGTTAGACCAACTCTTTCCAGGCGTACCCGGAGAAATTCTTGCACACGAGGCAGACATGGGGAAGTACCCGAAGCTAGGAAATACCCTTCCCACTGCGTCAGCAGAAGATTTTTTCTCCAAATACATCTCAAAGCGTCTCCCGGTGATTGTGAAGGGGCTTCTGGATGATGAGCACTTCAAAGGCAGAAACTGGGTATGTCGCTCGTGAGCGCCGCGGTGTCTGACGGAGTACTGAGCTCATGAAGGCAGACCTTGACTATCTAGCGTCTAAAGCTGGAGAACGTGATGTCCTGGTAGAGCCCATGCATCCTGAAGCTCGTCAATTTGGCACAGACGTCGAACGGGTCAGCATGAAGTTCAAGGACTTCCTGAAGAGCCTGAAGAGCGAAGAGGGCCCACATCACTATCTCACGACGCAGTATGCGGAACAGGAGTTGGAGGCGTTGACTGTGCTCCCTCCGCCTACAGATGCACTGGAAGAAGACTTCCCTCACATCCCGAGGATAATGGGGAATCTCTGCTTGCAGCAGGTAAACTTATGGGTCGGTCGGTCGAAGGAGGGGTCTACGTCTGGTCTGGTGCGCAATGCTATTCTTACACGCGTGTCCGTGCTGACACGTCACGCATCAGCACCACGACTTCCATGACAACCTCTATTGCCTGCTCAAGGGCCGAAAACGCTTCGTCCTCTTCCCACCGTCCGAGATCAAAAACCTGTGTCCCCACGGCACTCTTGACACGATGCACGAAAACGGCCTCATCTCCTACACAGACGCTCCAGTGCGGTCTGACGGCCTGCCCGTGCGCGTTGCTCTGAAGGCGAAGGTCAAGGCCCTGGAGGAGAAACTCGATGCCGTGCCGAACGGCAAGGGCAAGGGGCGGATGAACATGAAAGAGCGTGAGGCATTGATTGAGGCGCACGATCAAGCCTTGGACGAGCTTGCGCAGTACACTCTTGAGGCCGCGGATGGCATTGACGTTGACGAGGAAGAGGACGACTTTGATGCTCTGATGGCTGGGTTGGATGGCGAAGATGACTTCAACGTGCTTGAGGGAGGGAACGGCGCGAGTGATGGCGTGAACGGAGATGCTGAAGACGAGAAGGAAGAGGGAAGAGATGAGGACGAAAACGAGGACGAGGACGAGAGCGAAGAGGATAGCAGCGAGAAGGAAGTGGAAGAATACCCTGAGTGGTACGGCATTGGTACAGGCGACTCAGATGATGAGGAAGACGGCGAGGAAGACACTGAAGAGCCTTCTTCGTTCTCCCGCATACCCACTGCCCTAATGCACAGGCATCTGGGCCTGTCGACAAATGCCATGCCGCCAGCTGGTGCCTCCCTCAAGGACTTCCCCAACTTCAAAAAGGCGACGAGGCCGTTTGTCGCCGAGCTCTCCGCCGGTGAGATGCTCTACCTTCCGGCCTCGTGGTGGCATGAAGTCACATCTTCGGCAGCAGCTGACGGCGACGCCGTGCACATGGCATTTAACTACTGGTTGTACCCCCCAAATAATCTGGATAGCTTCGAAGAGCCGTATGAGGATACGTTGGTCTGGGAGTATTTACGGTCGAAGAACGCCAAGAGTCGACAGAAGTCGTCTGCCGAGACAAGCAAGCGGAGGGGTAATGAAGAGACTGCTCAGACTAAGAAGAGAAGCAGGAAGTAAAACTTGCTATATCAGCCATAACATCAAAACTACGTATACCCAGACTCCTGACCAGCGCCTAAGGGACGGGAGCTTTCTCAAGCGGATTATCGGGTTGGGTGATTATCGGCTATCTTGTAATTACCGTTTATATATACTACGTCAGCGGGATTTGTGTCTATGTCAGCAGAATTTGCGTAATCTTTCGAAAGGCTCACCGTCCCTAGGCGACTGGCACAGATTATTGGCGCGCGTGCTCGGCAGCTCGGCAAATGTCCCAACAATCATTTTCGTCGCTCGGGTTTCCGAAAAATAAGTGACGGCGCCTCTCCGCCTCGCTCAACCCTAGAGTAGGAGCCCACCCAAGCTTCATCTGCGGTACCTGCTCCGCTGTAGATAGAAGCTGTTCTAATATGATTTCAGGCAGCTGAGGCTCTATTTTATCTAACAATATACATGTGAGGCAAATAAGTGAAGAATCATCAGAGTTCTAAATTATGCAATGGAAATTAATGTGACTGAAGAAGGTGAGCTTTCCACAGATCTTTCTTCCACAGAGAGCAGGTTGAGTGTTGGGATAACTGAATTCAGCACATTTCCGCAGAGATACAAAAGTGAGATCAGTATAACAATCAGTAGAGTCCTGGTGTAAGCACCATAAACACCTCCGCATTTTTTCAAGAAGTGACATCAAGGGATCAAGGTGAAAACACGAAATATTGCCGGAAAGGTAGTATGTAAGGTGCAACGTTGCCGTGCAGTCATTGCGGTGTCGTCAGGGACCTTACTAGAGAGAGTGGCGCAGCTGCCGTAGTCGCTCATCCACATCTTTCACGGTCTCATGCACCTGCTTTAGACAAGAGATGCGGCCATTAGAGACATTAAAATCAATTTCATGACTTCTGAAATGAGCAGTCGAGCCGCTACCTGTTGTGGTTCTCAAGATACTAAGGAATGAGCGGGAGGTTCTCGAAACCCTCGCTTAGGGTTGAGCGAGGCGGAGAGGCGCCGTCGCTTATTTTTCGGAAAACCGAGCGACGAAAATAATTGTTGGGACATTTGCCGAGCTGCCGAGCACGCGCGCCAATAATTTGTGCCAGTCGCCTAGGGACGGTGAGCCTTTCGAAAGATTACGCAAATTCTGCTGACATAGACACAAATCCCGCTGACGTAGTATATATAAACGGTAATTACAAGATAGCCGATAATCACCCAACCCGATAATCCGCTTGAGAAAGCTCCCGTCCCTTAAGCGCTGGTCAGGAGTCTGCGTATACCATGGGCTTTGATTCTCTTCGTCGAACCCTCGGCATCCACTGAGAGCGAATCTCGCCTCTGTTCCAACCTTAGTCGATATCTGCACATATGTAACAATAAAATTCCTTGTGTTGCATTCAGATTCTGAATGTGACGAAGTCCTTACTTCCAGAGCTCTTGCCTTGGCATGACCGTTTGTCGTGCGCCTCCCGTCTTCTCCGCGCGGCGAGCGCCACTAAGCTGCCACTAAGCGCCGGAGAGATGGGCTACCTTCCCGCAGGAGTATTTGTTAAGGGCACTCTAACTTCCCTGTTTCCATAGTCAGGTCTGCAATTTTTTGTGTGTTATTTTCCTCGCTGTGAAGACTATTCTGTTGTTGAGGTGAACTTCTACATCATAAGCATATGCCAGTGGGTTCAGGTGGGGAAACAACGATGAAAGGAGCTTGCTCTGTACTCCCCATGTCCAAGACGGAGTCTTTGATGGTTCTTGTCACTGTAACTGTAGAATTCGGCGACATTGAAACTGAAGGATGTTCAGCCGACGGGCGTTCGACACGTACGAGAATCTGTTCATCATGTTCAAGATACCACTGCTCGACAGCTCACTCTGCCTCGCGCAACAGTTCGATTGGCAGGCGGAGCATTCGCCTCATCGTCCGCTCTTCGATTATGTCAACGACGACGGATCGCTCGTATCAATCGATTATGCGACGGCGCAGTACGCTGTCCATCGTGGTGCGCGGAGCGTCCTGTCCGCGCTAAAGGAGGCAGGCATATCGAAGACGAAGGAGAAGCCAGTCGTGGCATTTGTTTCTGCCGCCGGTGAGTGCTACATCTTTTCATAAAATTGTGCAAGCTGACATAGCTTCTAGAATCCATAACATACGCGACAGTAAACCTCGCATTGCTCAGGACTGGCCACATGCTTCCAAGAGTTTCAGTTCGGCGGCCCAGACACGGGAACTTATTAAGTTACACCGGACTAGCCACCAGAAGCGCCCAAGAGCGGCTAAGACACGCTGAAGAATTTCCGAAAAGCCCAAAAAATGGCACAGGCGGGAATCGAACCCGCGGCCCGAAAGTAACCGCAGCGTGCTATACCACTAAAGCATAAGACCTTGCAAATGTAAGGCTGGAATTGCCCTATATTACCACTTTTCTACCTCAAAGTCTTAGCTGTAATATTGTAGCCAATTATCAGGTATTAAAGCATTGGAATGTAATTGTACAAATGTATATCCTGATGGCGTGGCTAAGACACTGATGTGGCTAAGACACCAGTGTGGCTAAGACATTGAGTTATTAAATATTTGCTATTGATTCTGCTTATTGTACAAATGTATATCCTGATGGCGTGGCTAAGACACTGACGTGGCTAAGACACTAGTGTGGCTAAAACACCGGAGCAGATGAACTATACTCAAGTGGAATCAATAGCAA